AGTAAATCGCGTTTTACACATAATATCATTTATGCCTTATTCAAAAAATGATGACATTAACTAAAATTTATGCTTCAAATATATTTCAAATATATTGTCAATTATATAGTTATATAGCAAAAGGGGAGGATATAAAAATTTAATAAAAAAATAAAATTTGACATCGCGATATAATATAAACATAATAAATTTTTTAACACTTTACATCTCCCTTTTTCTCTCCCTTTTCAATCCTCGCCACGTTTTGAACGGAACGAGCGCGTTTCTGAAAGAGATCACAATGCCAATAATCAACCAAGTGGATCGACCGATTCCAATAGCTTTATCCTTGAAAACGCGAAGGCGATGCTCTGTCGTATCCTCCCCTTGTGTTTCATTGTGCATGATGGTACCTTGACTGGGCCCCTTTAGCGTCCTTATGCTCGAGAGAGTAGCATTTGTGACGGAGCCTTTCGACTAAAAGGGGTTTGGATATTCGAGAAATCGGCACCATTGTTGCGCCTTCGCTGCTAAAAAGAATTTGGGAGCTTGTTGTTTAATCGCCTGCGCGAACAAGTCTGGGTCGATGGAATTTAAATTCGTTGTTATAGACATAAAGAATAAATGCAAATCGAGTGAATTTCAAGTAGCTGTAAGCATTACACTCGATGTGCAAGATATTTTAAAAATTTCTCATATATTTTTCGAAGATTTTTGGCTCTCTCGTTTTTACTTCGTTCTTTAATTCAGTATCTAAAATCTATACAAAACCAGCCGATGATTCATTGGAAAATTTATATTCGATATTTTAATAACAAAAAGAATAAATGCGATTCGAGTGAATTTCAAGTAGCTGTAAGCATTACACTCGATGTGCAAGATATTTTAAAAATTTCTCATATATTTTTCGAAGATTTTTGACTCTCTCGTTTTTACTTCGTTCTTTAATTCAGTATCTAAAATCTATACAAAAGCAGCCGACGACTCGTTGGAAAATTTATATTCGATATTTGAATGTTCCATGCAGTATAGTAACACGTTACGTGTAGTTACGTTTTTGCAATACTACTGAAAGCGGGCATGGATATCTCCGCAATTCCAAACATTCGCGACGCGTTTCTCGGTACGTGTTCGCGACGTAAATAATATACTTACTTATAACTGTACATACATACTCGATATTGCAACGCGGAGGAATATTACATAATGGGAGATAAATCGCCGAGCACAAGAATGCAGACGAAATATATTAGAGACATCGTTGGGTCCGTCTCGTTGTGTGGCTCGCGAAAGATCCGATCATGCCATCATTTATCAGTATATCGACATTACCGTGGCGGTGATTTCATACGTGATTTTATTTTACCGGAGCGTTTAACGAGAGAAAGGCGATCACATTTCATCTCATTAGTTGGCACAGCACGGTTACATCAACGTATAAACTATCGCGGACTCGTCAATAAGTCCAGAAAGCAGTTCCGAGCACGTTAATTAACCGTACGTCGTAACTTTTTTTTTAATTCCCGTGAAAGTCCAAGTTCCCGGATGAAGTCGGCATTACGCGACACATAAAACGTATAATTTTCGATCTCCTAATCACGGGGATTCCTATTCGGACAGTCATGACCTTAATGCCTCTCCCGCGTCTGTCAAACAATTTCCTCCCACTGCGAATGCAACATAGCGACGCTATCGATCATATCGGGCTCGTTAGACATATTTGCTGATCCAAACACGCATTACGTTTCCCGTACATTAGAATGATGAATAGATCGAATAGCCTCGATCTCACGGAAACTACGAATTTAAAATCTGAACGAACGGATACGTAGGTACGACGATTGAAATTGACATTTGACCGACTATAGTGTTTAAAACATCGATGCACGATCTCGCAATTTTCTCCAAACTAATCGAGCGGAATCGAAAAAATCACGCTCACGCACACATTCTGAATATCACCGTTCTCGATAAACATTAAACGTGATCTTCTAAATTAATCTCGTGAAGAAAAATATAAAATAAAATTGTCATACTATTAACACCCGAATTATTCAACAATTTTATTAAGTATAATTAAATTTATTAAATATAAATAGTGAAAGTGTCATATTTACATCCGAGTTATTCAGCCAATTTTATTAAGTTGTTTAATTAAATTTATTAAATGTCTTTTAAATCAAAACAAAATTATAAAATTTTTACACGTGTCGAAAATCTTTAGATCAGTTGCAGTATTGAAATACGAATGGGTGATAAAATGCGAACGATAGACGTAAACATATGAGAGTAGTGTGAGGCAAGAGATGCTGATCACATCCTTCGATCGAGGACATTCGGTCCCGTTCGAGAGCTTTTTCCCCTTTACATATACTATATGTTGCACGATTTACATGATGATGACAGAACGGAAGATTACAACAGAGGGAGAACAATTTGGCAACAATTTGAATCGGAGAAACTCGTGATTTCTTCTCCGCGATGCGATGCTCGTATAAGAAAAGATGTAGAACAATAGTGGAAAGAATTCGTAATAAAACCGTATTTGTGACACGAGCAATACTCGCACAATCTGGATAAAACCGCCACTTCTTCTCTAGTACTTGTGATTAAGATTCTGAACATATATTCATTTTATATTCGTTTTATAGTCGTTTTATATTTCTTAGAAGACACTCGCTTGGTCCTATCGTATCCGTTTATCGTTTCTCGTATCGTGCTAGATACACGTGCGTATCTATTATAAATGTCAAAATAAATTTCTACACTATCATACCGTTACATAAATGAATATGATAAATATAAACATTTATTGCGATTTCTAACAAATAATTAGAAAAGTCGAAGTATCGTAAGTGTACTTATACTTTGAAAAAAATTTCTAAAATATAAATACCCTGAAATTTGCAGAGATAATCACTCGTAAAAAAATAAGAGATATAAGAAGAGTTCAGGTTTAACAGTAAAAATTCAGTGCTAAAAAACTAAAAGAATTGTCAATTTTATTCGATCGAATTATTGTCCAGCATTACCTTGAAGCTTGTCAAATCAAAGTAGTTCAGTTCGTGATTTCTAAATGATCTCGTATACATATATGTGCATATTTACGAGTAATTTTAAACAGCCGCGCGCGCACCCATATTTATCGGATATATGCTTATAGGGAATAATTACGATCGGCGGGATTTATTAAAGCCTGACAGCTCGTTCATCTTTATCGATGACATAAGAGAAGTTTTATAGCGAGATGATTCCTTACGTGCGACTTCAACTCTATCCCCTTCTCTTAGCCTTCTATTAAAACCTTATTATACATTGATTGATATAAGTTGTCACGCAAACTATATAGAAACTACTTGCGGTACGAAAAGCTACAAATGAGCTCCGATGAAGAATTCGCGATAAAATAGAGAAGGAAATCTTTCGAATTAATGCCGTTTATCGAGTTGTGTAGTAATTTATCGGTCGACGAAAAAAAGAGAGAAAGATAATATTGTGATATTTTTAAGAATTTTGTTTAATCGCGATAATACATATATTGTACATAATAATGTTTTTTTGACGAGTCATCATCCATTTCTCAATTTAGCGAGAGTATATAATGCGAATGTTGAAATACATACGCAAGCTAGAGTAATCTCGTTACCTGAAAGCATAGATTTATCTTTCTGTTATTCTAATCGGAAAACATTGCACGCAACACTCGATTTATTATATAATTTTTAAAAAATGTAGTTTTTTATTCTCTTTATATTTTTCTTTTACTATCTTTTGAATTGATAGACTTCTTCACAAGCATTAAGAAAAATGAAATAAAGTAATCTTTAATTTATTGATATTTGTACGTCTTAACTTGTCTACATCTTTTGAAACTAATAGTTTTTACAATGTAATCTTTGTAATATTTATATATACGTAATAAATGATTACATATTCAAAAAATATGAAAAACCCATCTACATTTCTATTCTTTGTGTCAATAGCAATTTTTTATAATTTAGTATTTGAAAAAGATCGAAAAATAAATGCCCGCGATTTGTCACATAAACAAAACCTAAATAACGAACGGTAATATCATCCGACTTATTATTATCAGCAGATGTTACGCAGGCATTGCGCAGAAATATGGTTGCACACATCACATTCAATAATAAATATGAATAAGAATGTAAATATATTCAATAGACATGTAATTTATACGCCGTGTCTGAGAACTAATTGCGGATGATGTTTCGCTAATGACAGCGCGCGCGGTTATGGCTCACTGTTTTCCTCTCTCATTATCATCCTAAATACAGTACAAAATCATCACGCGGGATATAGCGAAGATTCCTAACCGTCATGGATCCGTTATACCGGTGATCGAGGCAATTTTTCTCCCGTAAGACGTGGCAACCTTTTACTTCGTTATCGACCTTCGGCCTTTACCTATTTACCACCTATCGCCGCGGCCGTGTAGTTCCCCGCGATACTAAATTAACGCTTGCCACGGATATCGAATTAGATCCCGTCCACGTGGACGTCCACGTCAGCTTCAGCCGTAACTTTAACTTCGGTTTTAATCTTCCACGTTATTTCTATATATCACGTATTTATGATTGCTTTAGCTTTTCAGCTTTAATCTTAGCTTTAATAAGGGTTGAATATTCTATTCAATATTTTGTATTACACGTGCAGGCAAAGTGGCACTTTGTGTGCGTGTTTTCTGTGCGGAAAGCGGCCGATTTCCCACGCCGCAAGATGGCGGCGTGCGATCGGCCACCTCGCGCTCAAAGCCACTTTGCCTGCACTTGTAATACAAAATAGTATGTGTATCACGTGCGGAAAGTTGACAATTGTTCACTCGTGACCAATTGTCAACTTTCCGCACTTGATACACAATATACTATAATTTGACACTTTTAAACAAATTCCCCATAAATAAACAAGTTGTCCCATAATTTGTACAAAACAATAAGGGTCCCTCCTCTGTCGAGACCGAAAATGAAGCGCGCTGATCGAAACGTTGCTTCTGATTTCAGAACATGCACGCTTCGTCGTTCCCTTACGACGGCGGACGTAGCAGTGGCGGAGGCGGTGGCGGCGGAGGTGGCGGCGGCGGTGGCGGAGGTGGTGGTGGTGGCGGTGGCGGAAGGGGTGTCGAGTCGTACGGCGCCGTACGTCGCCCCGACGCCCTTCTACCGCCCCCGGGCCTCGACCAAACCGACCTCGTTCTGCACAGCAGCCTCGTTGACGACCCCCAGGTGAGCGACGATGTACGTAATCGCAACATATTTTCTCTATTATCACATCCCCCCGATGTCGCCTCTTTTCGACGACTCTTTCTCACCCCGAAGAATAGCCGCGAGACTCTCCGAATACGAAAGCATTACGGAGAGCATTATTGGAGAACTATTCCAAGATTGCGTACATCGAGATGTACGCGAGGGTGCTTTTCTTTGGCACGATGTTTTTAATATATAGCATTCATTTTTTAAATATTAGTGTAATAAAAATAGTAGATGAAATCGTTCTTTTTTAATTTTATTCTAATTTTGCACGTGGAATTTATTCTAAAAAGATCGAAATTTAATAGCATCCAGAAAGTGGAAAAAAATGGGGAAAGGAAAAAGAGCTTAAAATTATCCTTTGGGTAATTTCTATTGTTAATCTCTTGCAGGATAAATTCTTGTCGATTCTTTCGCATTAGTTTGTTTTTGAAAAATGATTACAGAGGTAGTTATTTTAACAACAAAAGTTGTAGCATCCATTAAATAGAATGTCATACGCTTGCGGGACGGAATGTTGCGAAATATGCCTTGCTTTGCTGTGGTTAAAATATTTTTCTTTGTTTTACACGAAAGCATACATATATCGTACAATGCATACGTGAAAAGTATGTGTTTTATGAAAAGAGTATTATAATAAAGGAGACATCTGTATTAGTGCTATGATGCTAGCGCAATATTAGAAGTTCTTGCATTTGCTCTTTGATTTTTTTTAATTTATACATATTAGGAAAAAAATATTAAAGTAAATTAAAAACTTTCTTTGAATATTAAATATTAAGACACAAACTTTTCTTGGAAAATATCTTGCGATTGGTTCGACGGATTATTAAATGTTTCGGAATATCATAGCACTGTGATATTAATTCGAAATATTTAAAGAATTTAGCAAATTCTATGATCAAACTATCTACATACAGTTTCAAGGAAACTTTGTTGAAAAATTATTTCTAATATTTTATGTAATTACCAAAATACTTAATATAAAAATTACAGAGATTAAATTTTTTATTTTGTAGAACACAAACGTGGACGATGGAGGGTTCATGAACGACCTACCATTACTAAAAAGTGAGTAAAAATACTTATTATCTTATATTCGTCTTTTCATTTTATTCTATGAATCTTAACAAAAACGAAGAAAAGCGTTCGATCATAAAATACTGTCAATGATGGTTTTAATAACTTCTATCGAGTTTTAATAAATAGAGCCAATATTATTTTTTTACATACGTATATATCTAACGTATGCCTTATAAAGATCTCGAAATGCGACCTATAATTTCGTCGTGCGTAATGCAAAGTTAATTTCGATACCCGACTCCCGGGATCGTTCGATTCGGAATTTATCCCTCGAGTAAATTTACACATCGCGCAAGAGAACGTAAAACGCAACGTGCACATCGCCGATAAATACGCGCAATAGCAACTGGAAATAGCGAGCAGCAGCATAATCCCGATATAAAACGATTGCTGCGCAGCCGGAAATATAAAGTAAGCGACTTGTCGCCCTTAATTAGAATTTATCTCTCGCTTGCTCTCCGTTATGTCAAGGGCACGCAGGCCAGATTTTTAACCGTTTGTGAAAATAAGTTTAAGGCCGCGCGCATAAAAGTGACGCACCGGTACATTCTTATGCGAGTGATCGTTCCTCTTGCAATAGAGAGATCGCAAAAAGCCGCACGAGCTGGACTTTCTGTCGAAGAGCATCGCGTAAATTACAGTACGATAAATTATATCTACTACAGTTCGCATATGGTCAAGTATAATTCTCAGCTTCTTGCCTGTAAAAAGTTTCTGAATAACAGAATTATACTCCGTATATATGCAAAATAAAATTCTTGAAAAAGGCTAATATAATCGAGAGATTTGAATAAATCTAAATATTATACGATACAATTTTTATTCGCTATATTAGAAAAAGAAACGTTTCCTTAATTTTCATAGAATTTACACGAACGGGGAGAGAAGACAAGATTGTCATTTGACTTGTTTTTCGAATAAGTGGATAGATTTTGGATAGAACGGATGAGAGATTTGTGTATATAAAAAATGTCATGATTGCATAATTCTGATCGAGTTACCGCTGAGAGAAGGAGGATATGTTACGAATCGCGAGAGAGGCAGATTATAAGGAAACTTGCACCACGTCTAATTTCGCGAGCGAGATACGCCTCTCGTCGACGCGTCAATCCGAGATCGAATCGCGGCCAGCGTCTCTTGCGAAAGTATCACGCTCAGCTAGACCGATCGTATCCGATCACTGATCCGAAAAGAGAAGAGAAGTGGAGAAGTCTCGGTTTGTCATTACACCTATATCGGTCTAGATATGTAACTTTCGATCTGTGAATTAATTACGAAATCGTATACCACTGTTCAAATATGGTAGCAGTAATTTTCGTTTATTTTGGTCGACAGAGAGAGGATACGAAAGTTATCGCACTTTCTCTCAATTGCGAATGATTAATTTTGCATTAAAGCTTCAATTTTTAAATCATTATTTTGTTAATCATCATCAGACCCTGCATCAGCTGTGAAAATATCTCAGCATCAGATGTGAAAGAAATTTGCAAGAAAGCTCTTTGCAATCTCTCGCTGCGTTAAATGTCAAATTTAGCAAAAGGAGAATCTGATTATACATCGATATAGCTATTTAGCGACGTCATTTGGGAAACGTTGACGGAAATTTTCGGAAGTACCCGTACAGCCCACAAACGTATTACGAGACGACCCTCGTGTTTCACGCGTGTAATTCTTTTCGCCTCTTCGGATCGTCACGTCGCACAATAGTCGAGAGCCTGCCATAGGTCGCATAGAATCGCAGGAAAGGAACGTAACGTAACATGCGTAGAGGAGGTGCGAAGGAAGAAAAAGAGAGAGGAAAAAAAAAAACACAGTGCGTGCCCGCGGGCGGATCGGATTTCGCTCATTGTCATTGTAATTTCTTGACGGGGTGTAGTTTTCGGGGCGTTCCTCACCACAGGGGTATTACCCTACAGATGGCTGTTTGTTCGAATGTCACCGAGGGTTATTATATGCCTCGTTACTCGTCCTGCCGACAGCTTATTTGGCCAGTCTCTTTTTCCTCTATTCTCGCTTCTTTTCCCTTTTGCTTTTTCTCTCTCTCTCTCTCTCTCTTGCTCCTTTTTATTTTACGAAACCGGAATATATGGAATATATGTGTAATGTCAATTTCGATACGCGTGCAATATTATTTAGACGTCTGTACATTAAATATCCCGGTTTAATCCGATTTATGGAACTGGAGAGAAATAAGAGACATAGCATCTGTAATTTATGATGTTGCTCCTTGCTCCGCGTCGTGATTTTCTCAATTAAGATATCTTCGAGATTTGTTCCCCATTGAATCGGATTTATCTAAAAATGTATATTTCGCGCGATAACTTTTTACGGGCAAAAAGAGACGGGAGAGATTTAAAACTCACTTGCTTCTGTCATGTAGGTATCATTCCGATCGGAGACGATATATATCGAGAGATACGTATAGTTGAAAGACGCGTTCCGCTTCTCGGAAGCCGGTTATACAATTATCGCGGCTTACCTTGGCTCCGTCACTCGACGACGACGCGCTCCAATTTAACTTTGCTACGATGTATCGAGGACGAACGGATTCTTTCTACCAGCGATAACGCGCGCTACGAAATTCGTTGATCGGTAGCTATACATTTATAAATTAGCACTCACGTCAAAAATTCTTCACAAATCAGAATTTGGACAAGATATAAAAGAACCGTAATATTCTTTTTTTATCTTTTCTATATATCAAGTAATATCTGTGTCAATATATTATATAAATTTATAATTTTTTAGCGGTGGTGTTATTAGAACAATTGTGTACTTGTAATATATAGTTTATTATTTATTGTACTGTTATTCTAAATTTTTCAGATTTTTTATCTATTAATTATATTTTAATTTAATTCATTAACTATTAATTTTCCCAGAAATACATATGAATGTGTTTTTTGCTTAATAATTCATCATCTTTTACTTTGCAACCGAAGGAATAAATTTCGTCGTAAATTGATTCATAATGATCTTTTTCCAAACAATTCTGTTCTTTAATTATTCGCAATGAACTTAATGAAAAAAAATATATAGGTACTATAAATAAAATATATTATGCGTATACGAAATAAAAATTTGCAACAATATATATAACTTATTGAAAAGCATTCACTTTTAAATCAGTTAGTCATCTCTATTGTATTTTAGTTTTATATCGAATTAATATACATGTTTTTATTCCATACCTTCGAAAACAACTATGATATATAAAATTCGCAGTCAATCTAAAAACTATTTTTCGAGAAAAAAAATTTGTTTCAAGAGAAAAAAATTTATGTAAATCATATGTATAATTCTAAAAAAAGTCAAGACTAACAATCTTAAGCTGTTTCAAGAAAACATGTATTTTTATTTTCAAATTTTTGCAATTTATGAAAACATATTTAATAAAAGATACGAATCTGTAACTTTGCTTATCTATTTAACACATATTTTATAACGCGAATATATGTACGTGAGATTAATCTATCATTTCTAATATAAAGTCGTACTAAGTATTGGAAGTAATTAATCGCGTTCAAAGGCCAACCAACGACATACTCTTACGACTTTAATGTTTTTTTTTCGAATTACATGTTCTCTTGATAAACTACTTTGCTATTCCTCGAGAGCCAGTGAATTCATTAGTCACCGATATTCTTCATTACTAAATCCATTTATTTTATCTGCGATATATGGGTCTTGGTGATACAGTCTTGACTTCCTTTTTATTTACCCGAAATGTTTTTTTATTAAATATAAATTATTGAAACTGGGGGTTCAGTTCGAAACTCTTCAATTGACAACTGTCAAAAGAAAATCGCTGATCGATTCTAGGCTTCGATTATCGAAAGGGGTTTTCGAGATGTGCCCCACAAAATAATCAACTTATTTTATCTGCGATATATGGGGATACAGTCTTGACTTCTTTTTTATTTACCATAGAAATATGTTTTTTTATTAAATATAAATTAGTGAAACTGAGGGTTCGAAACTCTTCAATTGACAACTGTCAAAAAAAAATCGCGCGGATCGATTCTAGGCTTCGATTATCGAAAGGGGTTTTCGAGGTGTGCTTCTTGCATTGTTCGCGGATGGGACCATCCTGGGCAATGAATGGAGGGCGGCCACCATCTTTGTACAAAGGCAGCTAAACTCCTAAAATCAACCCCTAATGAAATTAACGATCACCACGTTGCTCGTAGTTGCCCCCGGGGCCCAGGTGGGATCCCTCTGCTTGGCGGAAGCCTACTCCGGCGAAGAGTCCCTTTAGGGTCGAAAAGTCACACCCCAGTCACATACCAGCTAACCAATCAAGGTCGAGAAGTAAGCGAAGTCGCTGCTACGCGTCGATTGGTTAAGTTTCCGGCCCAGTTGATTGCCCAGGAAATTGTGCGTGTCCAGGACGCACGTGTAAGCCTCGGCTACGCGCTCAAGGCTATTCGCAGATGGAGATATTTTGTATGGTGGCAGTCACGTATAGCGATAATTGTTTCGCATGTTGACGCGCGTGCCGCCTTCGAGCTTTGTTCAGTAAAGCCCTTCGAGCTTTTTCGTTTTATGCTACAAAATCGTTAAATGATGTGCGGAGGCATACGAGAGGATTTGGTGGGAAGAATTTTGTCAAAAGCGGATTTAATTTTCCTCTACGTAAACACAAATGAAATACGACATAAATACGTGTATCGTATTTTTAACTTCGTAATTTTCCCAGGGAATATATCTTATTAATTAATAATTACCGAATTAAAAAGTTGTTATAGAAATATTGATTCCGAAAAACTGAAAAAAAATCTTTATAAATTGTAACGATTTTTTTTGCTATAAATCTTTGTATCGCTCGAACTTTCGCTAATCGCTAATTAATGTTACTGATTAATTTTTCTAAGAAAACATTGAATACGAGAATTATGAAATAATTAATTTAAAACAGTACTCTTTAACTATAATACCTTTACATCATTTTATAGATAATATATGACTTTTTCTTTTTAAATAATCTG